GTAAGATTTGTGGTATTCTGTACAGACCACCTTCCTGCCATTTTTTAATTTTCATTGTCTTTCAAAACTTTGTAAATAGTATACCAAATCCAAGATTTTATCCAGTTGTTCCATCATGTCTATGAAATGAAGCAAAGGAATCCAAGAGACAACTCCAGAATAGTTTCGCTCATTTGGTGAGTCATATATTCCACATCAAATAGAAACACCAGTGGTACAGAACATGTATACTCGACAATATCATATGGTTACCAATTTATGCATATTCAATAGAGAATGGTCAGTGAACCTCAGGGATGTTGGAGCGTGCTCGGTCATGCCATGTTCTACGATATTCTCGTTGGTCGGTGATGATGACGATAAGAACGCAACTTCGATATAGCGTACTCTCACACACCTACTAACACATCCTTCAAAGCCTCAGCACAAGGACCAACAACCCAACCTCGACCGTCGCCACCACGCACGACACAGCCAACACGATCCACCCCGCCGTGACGAATGGTCTTCCGAATATGCGTTTGCCCGTCTGTCCTACGGTTTTGATGATGCGTGGGGGTTGGTCGCGTTGAATTTTGGGGTGCGATAAGGAGGATGGGTCGGCGAAGTCGTGTTTGCTGTGCTGCGAGCGGAGGAAGGAGAGGATGAAGAGGAGGCCGGCGAGGACTGCGTAGAGGAGGCCGACTATCGATCGGAAGGTTCATGAACAAACGAAGAAATAAACGAAAAGATACGTCAGTGTCTCCTCAGTGACTTGCGATTGTTAGAAGAGATGGTACGCACTATGATAAAATCGCCTATCGAAGAGCTTGAGGACCGCGAGGGAGTATCCTAGATTGCCTAGTGCCGTTCGCGCGTATGCACCTTCGAAGGTACGTTGTCGAGCGCGCAGCTCAACGAGCTCGTTCACGTCGATTGGGACGAAGGAGTCTGCGCGGTGCCCTCTGTAGTGCGTATGCATTAGCGAGGAAATGGTCAGACTGGGCTGGATTTGAGGGTACAGGGATTGCTCACCGATATCGATGCATGCTTACCACGGCGGATGTCGTCTAAGCTGAAGATGGAAGGTCTCCGACATGATGGTCACGATTTGCGCAAATTCAGAGTGAGATCCTCGTTCATGCTTCTCTTCTTCTGTGATCTCAAATCAAGTCTTTATTTCCTGCCAAGCCCTCGCCCTTGTGTGAACTGAACTGTCGAAGGCTGTGATCCTGCAACGACAGATGTCCGCCACATTCTATTTGTCCGTGTAGTGGTGTTGGTTGGCAGGGGCTTTCAGGGACCAAACAAAGACCATCTTCATTTCCTCCCATTCCGACTGTCCCATCCACGCCTCCTCAACGCCGTCCCTCCGTGACGCTCAAACACACATACCACACTCGTTCAACCCACCCACTCTCTCAAATAACCATGATGAAATCCTTCATTCTCCTCTCCGCCCTCACCACCGCCGTCGTAGCCCAATCGGTTCGTTTTTCACTCTTGGCACCCTTGTTTTCACTCTGATTCTTTTTTTTTTCTTGTGGAAATAGACGATCAGCTCAACGTGCTCGACCTTCCTAACAGCACTCAACTCAGACTCCTCCCTCACCGCCTGTATCCAACCCATCATCGCCGCCGCCTCCCAGTTCGGGCCGGGATCAACCACGACGCCGACCACATCCTCCGTCACATCCGCGCTCAACTCCCTCTGCTCGTCCTCCGTCACCAACGGGTGCCCCGACTCGCTTATCCGCGGGAAGCTGGCGGACTTTTACACGGCGTGCACGCCCGAGCTGACTGGGGACTCTCCGAATGCGGATGTGCTGCTCTCGTATGACGTGCTCTACGTGATGACGCCCCTCCAGCAGGCCGTGTGCTCGAAGAACGATAATGGGGCGTATTGCGTTACGCAGATCCCGTCGGACATCGTACCCGCGTCGAGCAAGGAAGCGTCCTCGCCGAACCAGCTACCTCTGGACGTGATCGACTCCAACCTGTACACCACCTCGTCCTCCGCGCCGAAAGTCAAACGCGCAAACACCACGACGACAGTCTCACCCGCCTTAGTCCCCAACAGCACCACATTCCGCACCTCCAACCTCATCTACCTCTTCTCCACCCCCTCCGAGTCCTCCACGGACCTCTGCGTATCCTGCACGCGCGCCTCGCTCACGCCCTACATCAACTTCCAGGAAGCCGTCCCGTACGCTCCGGGCATCACCAACTCCCCCCTGATGGGCGGCCAGAGCGCGCTTTACTCTGCTATCACCCAGAAGTGCGGCGCGAACTTCATGAGTGGGGCCGTCCAAGCTGCTGGTGGACTCGGCGCGGGTGTGCTGGGCGGTGGGAAGAGCGGCGCGATGGCTGTTAAGGTCGGGAGCGTCGGACAGGTTGGGGCGGTGCTCGCTGCTGTTGCTGTTGGATTTGCGGGCCTCCTTTGAGGTATTGAGTAATTCGATGCTGAAGGAAACGCTTCCTGGAGTCTTGTTGTTTAGGAACTCGGATCTTATTCTCCACGCGTGCACGCACTTACTTTTATAATGCTATCCCGTCTTCTGGCCACGGCGGTCCCTCCTTCCCTCCTTTTGTCAACCCTCCCCCTCCTACTGTCACGGTCGTACCTCCCCCACACGTACAGCAGTTACTACATACTTTCGACGGTAGTACTATTTGTAGGAGGACCATCCATAGCCGTAACCCGCCCGCGTTGTTTTATTTTGTTTTCTGTTCTTCTGGCTGGCTAGGCTATACATATACCCCTTTACGCTTGTGTGCGATGATTTTTGTTGTGTGCTATGGTACGACGGACTGCAGGGATTGTTCAGTGCAGGTGTCACCCTCTCCTGTTTCATGGACGTCAAACATGCAACGTGGCGTCGGCGTGCTTCGCCGCTCGTGTATCTTTTGCCTTGCAGTCATCAAATTAGGCATGAGAGGTGCCAATTGCAATACAAAGCAAGATCGCGATGCGCTTGATGCGTCTACTACACTGACGGACGCCAGTCGTACGTCGTGTATACTTTATTGTATTTTCACTGCCGATGAGTTACTGAGCTTTTAGGGGGGGAAGTGAAGTACACCATGAAATCGACGGACAAGAGAATTAACCTGGGAATGTCAGTTGGGGGAAACGAATCAAACCCCCATGGCCTGTCAATCAAAGTGGTCTTCGGTGTGGCAACAAATCCGAGCGATGGGGTGGAAATGCAGAGAGAGAGAGAGAGAGAAAATCATCCGCCCTCCGTTCTCGAAGATGGATGCCGAGTCTTGATTTATTATTCCGCGCGAGACCGCAGATCAGGCTGAGCATTCGCTGGTGGTTGTCACGTTGGGAGATGAATGCCAGTGGCCGTCACAGCGGGTGCCTTTGTAGTTTATCGGCCACGAGACTTTGAAACGGGATAACAGGTCTGGCGTTCACGAATTGTCGGAGTGTTGATCGTATGTCAGGTTTTGCTAGGTTGTAAGGAGGGTTGGTTGCGGTGAGGATGTTTCAAAGGTATCGGGTTCGAAGTAGTGACATGAATCGTCGATTCCGTAGTACGGCCTGGACCAAGACTTGGCTGTTAAAGGATGAGTGCCGTCGACAGTGGTACCAGAAGGATCGTGCTCTGACCCTAACGGTCGGATGCCGTCGAAGTTTGTGTGAAGACGGTCGGCTAGCAGGTTTGCTGAATGAACCAAATACCGTGGTTCTTCGTCCATTTCCTGCCTGAGTTGCCGGATGCCTTTTATGTGTGCAGTGGATCCGCAAGAGAGCGAAGGAAGGCAGAGAGAATAAACCTTTCTGAGCGGCTCCTAATTTCCGCGAGACGAAAGTGGGTGGTTGGAATTAGAGTTGGGGACGGTAGTGGTGGTTCCGTACGTACGTATGGACGATGTCGGGGTGTTGGGTAAAATAAAATTCCCTGCCTACAAAGCCTGCTTCGCGAACTGTCGGAGCATTGACCGATGGTTCTCGCCAGATAAGAAGGAATTTCGATGCACTAGACAGGTTCAGAAAATGCCGGGTTCGAACCAGTGGCATGTTTCGGTGGATTCGTTGATTCCGTTGTCAAAAGGTCTCATGAATCTCCGGAAACGGGGTGGAACCAGTGACATGATTCGGAGATTTTACTGCCAAGAAAGCGTTAAAGAATATGCCGGGTTCGAATCAGTGATATGATCCGTCCATTCCGTAGTATGGCCTGGACCAAGACTTGGCCCCTTCAGGATGAGTACCGGGGAGATCCTATTAGAAGATAGGTGAATTTCTAGCTTCTCGCGACGGGTGCCAGTATACCCCGAATCGGTAAACCAGGACAGCACTCGACGGCACAGAGATAACGATATAGCCCCAAAGACGATTGACGGGCAGTATCATGAGGTCTGCCGCCAAAGACTCTGACAGGTGGCACCATCACCCCTGTAGGCAAGTTGTGAGGTGAATCAATTGTGCCATTTCATAGTCCAAGAACTCGGACGGAAGCTAAAGTGATATGGCAAGACGTCCGACGAAGGGACCATAGTGTGCAACTAACTCTCAGGCAGGAGATGGAAACAGTGAGTAGGTGGCATTCTTGATATTCGCTCGTGCCCGTGATTAGAAAGGCCACAACGCTGAAGAGAGTAGGTAGAGCTTGCAACATGAGGTGAAGCGAGTTGAGAATATAACGAGGAATGGTACAGAGGGTGTCTTGACTGATGTGTGTAGCGACTTTAAGATGCGTCAGCGTGTTCTCGTTCTTACTTTGTGGCCCTGGGTCCACTTTGAGTCCTCTAGGTTATTTCCACATTGAATTAACGAAATCTTCACTTTGGACAGCGACTGGAGTCATGAACGGTGCGTGAAAGGTATCACACCCAAATGCGGATGTGACGTGATGTTTTCACGAAAGGAGACACTTCGCCACAACCGCTGCGCGAAAGCAACAGCTTTCATGGGATCACATCCAAGAGATGAGGAACGACATTTAGACAAATGAGAAATCTACAGTACCGACAGCCTTTATGTATGCTCCGCATACTTATACTTCATGCTCTGGGTAGCTCAGTTGGAAGAGCGTCAGACTGTAATTGGATCATGCAAAATCATCTGAATGTCACTGGTTCGAACCCGGTCCCGGAGATTCATTTTGCACGCAAGGAATCGCATTTTAAACAGAGGAAACGAGTCCGCAATGGTATTTTTCGAACGAAGACGAAGTTATGAGCGGAAATACCGGATTTCCGCGTTTCTATGAGCAATTTTTCGTTCCCAAACCTTTAATTGGGGTTCATTATAGTCCTCCCGGACGTCCGAGGATGTGGATAATTGAACGTGGAAGCGTCGACGAGACATGTGAAAGTGGTGAACTTCGGAGACTGCTGTGTGAAGGACTTTGTGGCGTTGATGATATTTTTCGTCATGTTTTTGATTTTTCCCAGACTCCTTAGAGTCCTCTTCCG